TGCTCATATGACCTGTGATTTTCCTCGGCTACTAAATGCTAGCCCGGAAAAGTATAAACCAATGAAGCCATACTTTGGAGATCAACCAAGAAACTATTGGCATTTTGTGAAGGGAGTAGAAGGAGTGTCCGGGATCATAATGGTGGTTTTGATGTCAATAGCTTTCACTCTAGCAAGCCAACGATTTAGAAGGAACAAAATTCGTTTACCAAGACCATTGAACAAGCTCACAGGTTTCAATGCCTTCTGGTACTCCCATCACCTCTTTGTCATTGTCTATTCTCTCCTCATAGTCCATGGTATCGAGCTTTACTTAACCAAAGAATGGTACAAGAAGACGGTCAGTCTATACATTTGTGGAATCAACAATAATTTCTTAATGAGTTTAACTTTTATACACTCACAACTATTAAATCAACTTACAATGCGAGCGTATACTGGCAGACATGGATGTACTTGGCTATACCAATCATACTTTATTCTGGTGAAAGATTACTAAGGGCATTCAGGTCAAGCGTCAAGGATGTTAAAATATTAAAAGTAAGTTGAGTCCAAATCTATACATATAATTTAGTTATAATTCTTGATAATATCAAGGTTGTTGAGACAAATGATAGATTTGCACTTAATATGGAGCTAGGTGGCTATGTATCCTGGAAATGTGTTGACACTTCAAATGTCAAAGCCACAGGGCTTCAATTATAAAAGTGGGCAATACATGTTTGTCAACTGTGCTGCAGTTTCACCATTTGAATGGTAGGTGATGCTTAATAAATAAATTACTACTAATTAAGTGTCACATGTGTTTCTTAATTGTGTTATTAATTGTTCTTTTTTCTTTTTCTTGAATAAATTTTCTTAAAATATGAATTTCAAATCTTGAAAATAAGATATGTTATCTATTACAACAGATAAAAATTGTCTGATGGTGTAAAAATATGTTAACTGAATTACATTGATTGTGCAAAAGACACGATATGAATCTCATTCACTCTCAATCACTAATTAGATGACGAGGCGTTTGACTATCGTAAAAGAGTCCAAGTACATTTAGTCTCATGTTTACCTGTATTTGGTTGGATTTCTTTGTTTTTAACTCGATACACGTACTGTTCTTGTGACTTGGCAAATATTATATATATTACCAGGCACCCATTTTCTATAACTTCAGCGCCTGGAGATGAGTATCTAAGTGTACATATTCGAACTGTTGGTGATTGGACTACAAAACTCAGAGATGTTTTCTCAGAGGTAAGCATTATTAAAGAAATGTTTCCACTATTTTTAATACTCAATTATTGAACTTTTTCTTAATCATATCCATACATTTTTTACATTATTATATATGCGTGCCAGCCATCACAAACAGGAAGAAGTGGACTCGTTAAAGCCGCCTACATGCAAGACAATATAAAGTGAGTCTTTATTCCATTATTATAATACAGTGCCCCCCAATGACACTTAAAAAAAAATGATTCACTTTAACAGCGCATTAGGTAGTTTAACCTTCATTTTCATATAATTTGGGTGAGGAATAAAAGTAAATAATGATACCATAAATTTTTTATATTTTGTTTGATTATTGTGTTTGAAATAATTTATTTTATCATTTATATCATACGTGTATGATATGACAGAAATTTTTTTTCTTTTTTACCATAAAAATTGGAAAACCTTTTCCATTACTTATAAATGGAAATAATTTTTCTTTACAAATATTCCAACTCTAAACAATGTCATTTGCTCTAATTAACATTTTAATACTTAAATTTTTCATCAAACCATTGTTTAATTTTTCTAAATTATTTCAAATTTTTTTCCATGTACTGGAAAATTAGTTATTCCCTTCGTCCTTTTTACATTTCATTTTTAGGTCCTCTAGAAAAGAATGTCACGTTATTATAGTAAGAAAAAAGATTATTTTAAAATTTTTCTTTTACCTTTAATGAAATAATTAGCGATCACACAAATATTTAAGAATTATTTCGACAACAAGTTTCATTTTTTTTTAAAAAAAATACCATTACCAATGAGTTAAAAGAATAAACGAGTACATTAGTAATGCTAGCATATATTGCATAAAAAAATTTATTTATAAAGATACGCTCCACAATAATGATATTATGAAAAAAGATGTAAAAAAAGGTTTTGAGGGGCAATAAGTACTTATGCATGCATTCAAAATGATTGCATTATTAATACTATGAGTTTTCATGTATTAGTAATATACGGCTCAATATACAATAGATATACATAGGTTAAAAAAGTGCACTAAACAAGGTGCTATTAATACACAGAGTTAATACATGCATTATTTTTTCTAATACACTCTATCAGACGATCGTAAAACTACTAACAAAGCTGATTATATATGATGACGTTTAATTATTTCAGTTATTACCCAAAAGTGTTAATTGATGGACCATATGGAGCACCAGCACAAGACTATAAGGAATATGAGGTGCTTTTGTTGGTAGGTTTAGGAATTGGAGCCACCCCTATGATAAGTATTGTTAAAGACATAGTGAACAACATGAAGGAAGAAGAGTATGATCATGATTTGGAGAGCACAGAACAAAAGAAAAAATCAGGATCAGGATCAAACTTCAAGAGAGTATATTTTTATTGGGTTACTAGAGAACAAGGTTCATTTGATTGGTTCAAGGGTTTAATGAATGAGTTAGCTGAAATGGATTGTGCTGAAATAATCGAGATGCATAATTATTGTACAAGTGTTTATGAAGAAGGTGATGCTCGATCTGCTCTCATCGCGATGCTTCAATCCATCAATCATGCTAAAAATGGTGTAGACATTGTATCTGGAACAAGAGTTAAGACTCATTTTGCTAGACCTAATTGGAGAGATGTCTACAAACGCATTGCTCTTAATCATACTGATGCAAGAGTTGGTATGTACCTGAGACTTCCTATAATTTTAAGAATTTCAATTATATGCATAATAGTAAACACACACACGTTCTTTAATTTGGCCTCAGCTGATATAGACATAACACATAAATATGACTCTTAACTTGGCGTCACTTGACAATTACGATCTTGAACTTTACATATATATGAGCAGACACTTAGACTTGTATATAATTAAACAAATTGACATATTTATCTTACATGGCACTCTACATGGAAGATTTGTGTCCTACGTGTATCATGCCATGTAGGAAATGTATGTGTATTTGTTCAATTTTATATAAATTTAAGTGTATACTTGTGTACATCAAAGTTAAGGGTCATAGTTATCAACTGATATCAAAATTAAAAGTCATATTTATGTCATTTCAAATTTAAATCGTATAAATAAACACTTGAACTTATATAAAATTAAATGGTCGCTCTTTTAAAATTTGAAGGAGTTTTCTACTGTGGGGCACCAGCACTGACGAAACAGCTTGGACAACTGGCCTTAGATTTTTCCCACAAGACATCAACAAAGTTTGATTTCCATAAAGAAAACTTTTGACCAATCATGGACTAGCAAAGGATCAAACCAAACAGATAACAACCATTTTTTTTTATAAAGAAGCATATATATCCACTACTTTCTTTTTTTTTTTTTTTATAGAAAATCTTGTTGATTTTGTTAATAGTTGGGTTTTGTATTGTTATACGAAAAGCAATTATTTTTGTGCAGCTCCACCCACCAGTACTGGATTGGATTACCAATTCAAATAATCCTTTTATTTTAATTTGTTCCTTTTGTAAAGGATATATCTATGTTGATTTATGTTAAACGATATTAAATGTCCACAGTAATAATTTTTGTGATATATTACACTTTATTATGAATTTTTGCTTACTTCCGCTGTATCATTATGTGGGATTTTTTATTTTTTAAAAGTTAAACAGTTTAAATTTGATTAAAAAAATTTTAAAATGAAATTTAAAGTATATTTATAAGTTATATAAAAAAAGCTATAAATCATAATAATTGATAATTTAAAGTATTTAAATGATATATGAATAATTTAATGTCAAAATAAACCTATTTTGAATTTCAAAATTTAAAAAATAGTCAACATATAAAACAGAGACGAAATAAGATTGTATAAAAATTTGGTACATTTTTTTAATATGATTTTTACAACTTCTAGTATTTTTATATTTAGAGTTAAAATACAGTTTAAAAATTAAAATCACATGTCTAAACAAAAAATTTAATTTCATCTTATGTTATTTTATATCATAATGTTATCTCACGTGATCAAACGGACGCTAAAATTACACCGGCCGAAAAGAGAAAGTAAAATTTTATAAATTTTTAGCTAGCACCGCAAGAACAAACGTATGAATCCACACACATCAGTGAAAAGAACGGTGTCGTCCTCATGGCTAATTACGTGGCGAGCTGGCCTTTCGACTTTTGTCACCGCTGAATTTTTTATTTTTTATTTATTTTTGTTTACATTGTTAATTGCTACGTCCAATTGTTCCCCCCAAAAAAAATATTTTTTGCTACTCCGATTTCTGCATCATCATCCCCATTAGAATATTTGGTTTTTCCAGCATTTTCCCACAAATATGGTACACTCTTCCTCTTCTCCCTGTTCTTTTTTTTTTTTTTAATCATCTCTTGCTTAATTCAAAATTGTGTTTCTGCTGTTCCATTTTGTTTTAATAGTGTTTACGTACAGTACTTTTTACATCATTACCAATTTAACATGATAGTTTTGTTAACGCACTGATTACTACTGTATTAGATGCAACTCGTTGTTTAATTTCCGCTGCAAGCTAGTTAGTTGTGCCCAGGCGTAGTAAAATCAAACTCAATCCGTCCGATCCAACCCAATCCATTTAGGTTTCGGTTGCTTGTTTAACTCAATCCGTTTTATTATATTAAAAATTGAATCGACACGTAACGCAAAATTGATTTTTGAAAAATTTTATCAAAATATTTTTTATTTTTATTTTATATGTTATATATAGATAGAATAAAGAAAAATAATAATTTTATTAGGTATTAACAACTTATAAAATAACAAATAAAGTTATTTAAAATTTAGTAAGAGTTGAGCGGGTCAGATTACGATTACTAACCTGTTACCTCACCCATTTTGGCCCAAGCAAATTTGGGTTGGGTTGGGCCTGACCCGTTTATTGTGTTGACTGATCCGTCCAAATTTAGTCCAATCCATGCGATTGTCCCCACTAGTTATGCATGCGAGTTGTGTGAGGCTTTAAAATTTAAGCCTGTAGAGAAGTAGTAACTTTTTTAGGACTAGACAAGTAGGGTAGGTGTCACCCGCAACAAATAATAATATAATTGTCGTTGTATTAATTTAGTGGTAATAATAAATATGAGTATTTATAGTCAGAACACTATATGAATGGTATCAACTTAATTGACACAAAATGTAGTGCGTGTGAGATGAGATGCAAAATTATCGTTTTCGCGCTTGGATAATTAGTATAGGTTTGAAATTGCTGAATATAGTTTAGTACATTAAGAACTGAAATGTCAGAGTAGAAGCTGAAGATTTTTAGGGTATGTTTACTGTTTGGTATGAAGAAATATGTTTTTCAAGAAAATAGTTTTTTTTTTAGGAAATTAATGTTTGTTTGTTTGTTTGTTTTACTTATTTTTTGGTGTTTGGGGAGTAAGGTGTAATGCAGCCAAATGCCATGATCTGATTGAAGCTGAAAATGTGATTAGTGACAAAATGGTTAATTTGTGTATCATCTTTAATCATCAAAGCTATGAAACTAACATTTGTAAAGCAGGTGAGAATTTATAGAATGTTCTACAAAATTTTACCACAGAGCACCCGGGTTTATTCCCGGGACTTCACCTCAAGGTAGTACATTCGAATTCGTAATCCAGGACAAAGATAGTATTCTTTGTTATTTGTTTGCTACTTTCTGTTTGATAATCTGTAGTCATTGCTCAGGACAGTGGGAAATTAGGGCCTAAAAACTGTGGCGAACACTTGGAACAAGCCAAAAATGAGTTTCCGGTATGTAAATGTGGATTCGACATGTTGGATGCTGGCTTTTTCAATGACTGTAAGGTACTGTGATGGAGTTAAATTCACTAAACAATTGTTAGCTGTGTTGCACGGATTATTCATAATTGTCGAGTGTTGTGTTTTGGATCCTCCAAAAGTAGCACATTTTTTTGGAGGATCTGACATCGAGTGCTCCCAATTGGAAAACTGAGTAAGGCTATTTTTGTGTCTGGTGCTGATTCTTTCTTTTCAGAAGCTTGAAATACAGAAGGGCGCAAAAGATTTTAACATTCCTATAATAAGATCGAACCGGAAGTTAGTTGCTACTGAGAATGGAGGTTTGCGTGACCCGTCTCCTTTAGTTTTCAATTCTGCATGGAAATCCCAGGAAGCAAAGCGAGTAACGGACAAGTTCAATTATTCTGAATGCTCTGGCATTCAAAGGCCGAAAAATGATGAGGATATTGCTTTCATGAGTGTACGTGCACCCTAAATAGCCATGCTAACGTAACCGTGTTGCACCACTGATTCCTAGTTTAATTTTATTATTTGAAATTGTTTATCAGGTTCTTGAACTCGGGCAACTTTTCAAGGAAAAATTGATTACATCCGAGGAACTCACTCGAATTTTTCTGAACAGATTAAAAAGGTATGGTGAATGAATGATTTGCTTTTGTTTATCTCATTTGCATGCTATTGAATAATTTTATTCTGAAAATGATGTGTTATGCCGGAGCTCGCAGGTACGGCCCTGTCCTTGAATCTGTTATCACAATTACTGAAGAATTAGCATTTCAGCAAGCAAAAGAGGCTGATCAAGTGCTTGCAAAAGGAAAATATTTGGGTAGAAGTCCACCTTCCTCTCTTCCCCTTAGTCCCCTTCCGCGTCCTCTCCACATTTTAGTTTTTGGATGTCACAGAAAATCTTCTAACATTTGTTTATATGGAGTGAAGTGTCTGGAGAGAGATGATATTGAAATTTCAGTTTGAATGACCATTCTGTTCTTTATAGGTCCTCTTCATGGGATCCCATATGGTCTAAAGGACATTATTGCAGTACCAGATTATCCCACAACATGGGGTTCCAAGTCTTTCAAAGATCAAGTTATTGATGTCGAAGCTTGGGTTTATAAGAGGTACTTACAAATCACTACAACTAGAAGGCATGCCGATCTTGCCACCAACAAACCTTTGACTTTGGCTGTGAAAAGCAATCAATAAATGTCGAGGCCACTCCCGAAGCCAGCCTATATTGTACATATGTTTGTATAATAATTTGTAGATACGGTTGATGCAGGCTGAAATCTGCTGGTGCAATTCTTGTTGCAAAGTTGGTCTCTGGTTCTTTAGCTTATGACGATATCTGGTTCGGTGGTAGAACAAGAAACCCCTGGAATATCGAAGAATTTTCTACTGGTTCATCAGCAGGGCCGGCTTCCAGCACCTCAGCAGGTACCTTGAGTTAGCTTTCTCTAATACTCCCTCAGTCCCAATTTAAGTTTCTTAGTACCTACATCTGTTTTGTTATCTGCACGGGTGAAAGAATGAATTTTTATCAACCTTTAGCCATTTACTGATCCAAATGAATGGAATCTAACAGATATATCATACTATGCCCAGTTCTTAAATTGGTTCTATACATATGACCAGCAACAAGAAAAATAAATGCAGTATCTAAATAGTGATACGGAAGATGAGTCAATCATTACTTCGTTTTTTCTTCTTCTAATAGAATACTCTGAGAAGAGATAGAGTGGGAGGTACCGAATAAGATTATTTGGCAAGTATATTGATCTACAATGATGTCTTCACACTGCAGGTCTAGTTCCATTTGCAATTGGTTCAGAAACTGTTGGGTCTATCACCTACCCAGCTACTAGGTGTGGTGTTACTGCATTGCGGCCCACTTTTGGAGCTGTTGGTCGTACTGGAGTTATGAGCATATCGGAAAGCTTGGTATCGTTCCTCTTCCACAAAATTTAATTCCTTTTGTATGTATTTTTATCTTTTACTGTAGAGGTGCTGAAACTTGAATCTGGCTGGTCATTAGGATAAACTGGGCCCTCTCTGCAGAACTGCTGCAGATTGTGCGGTTGTTCTCGATGTCATCCGAGGAAAGGATCCAGATGATCTTTCGTCCAGGGACATCATGTTAGGTGATCCATTTTCAGTTGATATTACAAAACTCACTGTTGGGTATCTCGAAGACGCTGACAAGGAAGTAAGTGATTGTACAACATTACCAGAAATTCACTATGCAAATTAGATTCTTTATCCTCTTTGAAAGCCCGAATTAACTAGACTGTTTAATTATGTCAATTACAGGTTGTTGGTGTACTTAGATCAAAGGGAGTGAATATGGTTCCATTTAATCTGGATTACACTGTTGATAGTGCTCAAGGTATTGTTAGCTTCACTATGGATGTTGACATGCTAGCTCATTTTGACGAGTGGCAGCGCTCAAACCAGGATGATGAATTTGAAGCTCAAGACCAATGGCCTCTTGAACTTCGTCGTGCCCGTGTTATATCTGCTGTAGACTATATTCAGGTATATGTCACAATCTAGAATATATCGCTCTCTAGATGTTAAAACACATTGCCTCGGATAGAGCCCGATACACTTTACCGATCAAATAGCATTAAAGGTGGATGTACTTGACAGGCACAGAGAAGTCGAAGCAAATTGATTCAGGAAGTGAAAGAGAACTTCACAGTTGATGCATTTATTGGAGATTCAGGTGACTGGGAGAAAGTTTGTGTGGGCAATCTTGTGGGTATGCCAGTAGTGGTGGTTCCAACAGGTTTTAAGAAGATATCCAATGCATCGTCTGATGATACTCGCAGGAAGACAACAATAACTACTGGCATTTATGCTCCTCCTGACCACGATCATGTTGTAAGGCTCTAATCCTCTTATCTTGTATGTTTTGGATATAGGAAAATTTAGAATCCTAGAGTCTAGCTTGGTTTAATTTTCTCATATGTATATATGTGAACACTCACACATGGTTCGAGGGGAAAGTAATGTGTTCAGCTCAGAACCTGACTCCGTCCTCGTTGCTAGACTGATGACCTTGATTTTGTGTGTTCCTTCCTTTTATGCGCAGGCTTTAGCATTGGCAATGGCGTATCAGTCACTAACCAACCATCACAAGCAGCGCCCTCCAATTGACGACATTGGGCCAAATGATTCAATTCCAAACCCACCCACTTCCACTGTACCCGCAAGACAACTACGTGATTACTAATCTCTCAAGGGTATTCAATGTCACTCTGTGTTGTCCTTTTAACTTGTTATTATAGATGTATACCACTAGTTGTAGTAGTCAAAGCTGTGTTGGATCGACAAAAAGGAAGAAAATAGTTCTCTCGTTTTGTCTATGCTGAAGGATATTCTTTTTTGGTATATTCGTTTCATTTTGTAGCACTTATAGTTTGGCTGTATACCTCTTGCCAATAGTTTGTGGTAGATACCTCTCACTAATTGTTTGTGCTATGCAAATTTCAATTTCGAACCCTGGGTTGACGTTTCAAATTGAAGAAAGGATCAAGAACAGTAGTTGTATGATTGATAAGCTAAAGGCATCCAGGAGCTATATAAGCAACTTTATCAAGACTTTTAGTTCAGGAACTATGAAAGAACACCTAAACTATATGGATCTGTCTAAATCTACATTGTCAATACATTTTTCTTGTTAAAAGAGGAAAAATCCCAAAAATTGGCGAAATGTTTGCTCGGCTGGCCACAAGGCAAGAAGGGATGAGAAAATAAAACAGTAGTAAAGGGAAACAAAAGAAGAGCATAACACCTAACTCAAATATCTAAGTCCTTCTAGCAGAAACAGTTCTCTGTTTCAGCATCTCTAATTTTCACGTCTAGTCCTCCTACGAGGAGCAGCGGCGTCCTCATTCTGGTCTTCTTTCTTCTGCGTGGATCCTTCCTTGTTTGAACTTGATGTCTCTGCACCGTCAGTTTTCTTAGCCTTTCCAGTAGCTTTTACCTGCAAAAGCAACAAGTGGTTCTTTTATCAAACATACATACTCAACAGACTCGACACAAGTTTCATTTGTTTCCTATTTCTTTGTGGGGGGCTGAGGCTGAGTTCAGACTTACGGGTTGCTGCTGTGTCCCACCAAAGATGAGCTTCAAGAAAACTGTGAAAATGATAATTATGATTGAAATGACAGCACCAACTGTGAGATTGGGCTGTTTCTCAGCCTTCTCAAGAAGATCCTACAAGACAAGTTATGTATTAGTCATGCGTACAAAAATGTAACAACATGCAATGTCAAAACACCAGGTCACACTCACCAATACTTTGGACCTGTGTTCGCCCAAGAAGGGAATGTCAGCCACCTTGTAGAGGAGATCAAGTACCATTTTCTGCCAAGTGTTCCAAATAGATTTCAGATCAAGTGATGGAATGAAAAGAAAAATCAAGAACAATGGGTTGTATCTTGAAGAAAGTGTAAACAACTACCTGAAATCCTTTCAGCCCACCAGCGCTTGCTGCTTCCTCGGCCTTTTGTTTCTCTTTCTCTATGTCAAACTTGGGCTTCCATGCAGTCATCCTGTATGATTCTGCAACTTTCTCATCACTTGCTATCAAGATATTGTCAAATAATATACCATCTTGCATTGTCCAGATTTCAATGCCAATTGCTGCAATAGGCTCGAAATTGGGCCTGTCGAGTTTGAAGTAGTTGGGATTTGGAATATCTCTTGGCTTCCAAACACCCTTGTAATTGGGATTCTCAATCAGTGGAGCATACCATTTTCCATTGTATGCTGGATTTCTCTTCATTGGTCTTGTCCACTCCCCACACCCAGGGACTTCTTCACATTTTGGGTTGTCAATTTTGGGAGCCTCCCATTCACCATCTTCATCGTCAACCCAATCTTCAGGCTTTGTTGCCTCAGGATCATCGATCTCTTCAGGCTCGTCATCCAACCATCCCTCAGGCTTCTCAGCATCCTCATCTTCAATCTCCATTGGTGCATCCTCATCCCAATCATCTGGTTTCGTAGCATCTGGATCTGGAATTTTTTCCCTCTCATCCCAGTCCTCAGGCTTCTTATCATCTGGGTCTGGAATGGTCTCTGCTGGAATAAGAGGTGGCTCCATATCATAATCTGAGAGTAAGTCAGCCTTCTTCTTCTGTTCCCCATCAACTAAGATTAACAACTCATTGTTGGGTTTCAACACCGCAGTGTAAACATGGGTTAGTTTGTCAGAAGGTACAGATGGTGGAAACTTAAGGTGGTGTTCAATGTACTCCCCGCTCTTAGGATTCTTATGTTTCAAGATGAAATGAATTTTGTCTGTGGCTCCACATCTATCTGGTCCAAACATTATAGTATAGGGAGATTCATTGCTGAATTCCTTGGGAATCCACCCTGCCTCCTGGGGGCGGAGGTATTTAAGATAAGCACCACCACATTCAAGTCCTTCCTGGAGGCGAACTTCATATTGAAGAACCATAGTTCCATCATTGAGGCTGACAACATTGTCAAGCTCCTTGACAATAGCATATTTTTTTGCCTTCTCACTCACAAGAAGCCCATGGTCATCATGTCCCTCACTCTTGGCATGTTTCCACACACCTGAGACACAATTTGAACTCCATATGAACACTTGAAACTTTAACAATCAAAGATCGACTCAGCATTATAGAAATAAAGACATTACACAATGTTATAAGGCACACTCGATGGTGAGAAATTTATTATGAATTAAAATTGAGTTAGCATTATAGACATAAAGATATCGCACAAATATCTAAGACTGGCTAATATGACAGACAAGCAAGGAATTCTATATTGCTTCGAAACAAATGGATTTTGAGCCTTATCTGTCACTGGGAACAGAGTTTTGCAGCATAAACTCCAGGTTCATTATTTGGTGGGGTGGCAAATATACAGTACACTTTTGAAAAATTAATGTATTTGAATAATGATATAACTCTTTAAGTTTTGTAAGCATTGAACACATCAATCAGCATAACTCTTTAAGTTTCTATTTGATATTTTGGTTTTTTCTTCACTACCTCCACCCTCAGTCAAGGCTAAAAATGATGCATATCCATAGAGTTGCTGTTTAATTTCCTTACAAATCAATGAATGATGACATGAATCTGAAAGATATTCGCGGATCATAGTAGGAACAACGAGCATATACCAATATAGTATAAGAATTAACAGTCAAAGAGAAGAACATAAACAGATGAAATGAACCTCGTCACCCTCATTCATCCGTCAAAATTCAAAATTAATATGCAATTTTAAACAGAAAAAAAAGGAAAGAAGAACACCAATTGATCTCATTTTATGTTGCATTATGGATGACTGCTTCTTTTGTATATACACACTTCCCTAATCATCGAAACTCAACATCCAAATTTTAAACTTCGGCATAATTTTTTCTAAAAAGAATCAACTTTTCAAGTTTCAACTATTATGATCTGTCAAATTCCGACGGAATACTTATAACAGATCCAGAGAAAAACTTACCATTAAACTCCTCTTTCTGAGACACAATCCAACGCCCATCAAATGTCTCATCGAACGACTCGTAAAATTTCTACAATCAAACCACGAATTCTCAGCCAACGCACCATTAACATGATCCAGTAGACACAGTATTTGCAAAAACAAACACGATCAGACATGCAATTAGAGATATACATCTTACCACATCCGAAGAAGCATAGAGTTGAGAAACGAAGCAACCGGCCAATAATAACAATGCATATTGCGTCCACATTCTCCGATTCCGCTCTTCCATAATCAAATATGGAATGTAATACTCACTGAAATTAAAAGAAAAAATAGCAGAGATCTGAGTGGGTATAGAAGAAGAGGAGAAAACAGAGTGAAATTTGCGGGGAGGAGAATTTCAGAGTATAAATAAATGTGGCGACCAGTTCGGGTAGTTCATAACTCGTGAAGTGGACCAATGAATATATGCCACGTTGGTAGCCGCGACTTCAACGAACACCCGCAGGGGAAGTTGGATCTACGACGGGTATAGTTGTGTGTACACTTCAATTTGGTGGCTCAAATTTTTTTTCATTATTTCGATCAACTATATATAATGTTTTATTTTGTAATTTCATCGAAAGTTTATGTCATGATATTAGGAAAACAGACACATCATTTTCATTTGGTTCAAATTTCACCTTATACAATCATAGAATACATTATTAAATTACATACATTGATGTTTCTTTTGTAAATAAATGTAACAATTTTTTCCTGAAAAATTTAAAGTGAAGAGTCGTTTAAAACTAATGGATCAATTTTACATTCTGAAAAACAAAAAAATTTGAGTCACAATTTGAAATCCTAATAAAATTTGAAGTTAGAAATCATGATTTAAATTTTAAGCAGAATTGATAAGCAAAACCTTATGCAAACACCTATTTATGTTAATAAATATATAAACTACTTTTGTAAAGGCTGCTAAGTGCTAAGTTGCAACAACTGTTTTCCCCTTCAACATTTTCTTTTAACTTGCACCTGCACATTCCACTTCTCTCCACCTGTCAGCTAACTTTGACCCCCCCAAATCCCAAATGGTATTTTCTTTAATCTTTTGCTTTTTCTCCACATGGAGAGTGAATAGATTTCTTTTGTCTTTTAAGTAAATAAAATCTCATAAACATATGACTGAAAGAGACAACAAACATTGTGTTTCATGTGGTGGATGAATAGGACGACCCAATATATATAAACATAATAATGCTAGTAGAGTGACCTTTCTAGAATTGACTTTTCTCTATCATGGAGAGGAAGTCTTGGCTTCCCACTATAAATATATATAGACTCTTGAGCCCAAAAGAAACCATCATCTCAACTTAAGACACAAAAAAAATGTGGAGGAAGAAGAGAAAGAAGAGTATGACAAAACCAAGGATGACAATCAACGCAAGTACCCCTCTGATGCATCTAATCTAAGTGGATGTCAAGGACTCACAGGCAAGTCATTGAGGCAAAGGGAAGGTTATGCCTTTCTTCCAGATCTTTCTTTTTTCCTTTGTTGTGTTTTGGGTTAATGTTTTTGAAGTTCCACTTTATATGTAATGTATGCTTGTTTTGGGTTGAAATTCTCTTTTAATACAATGATTCGTGTTACCCGCGTATGCTATCATCCTGTTCTCCCCAATTCCACTACTTTCTTGCCACACTTTAGTCTTCACCAGCAAAGTTATAAAGTATGTGTTTGAATCTTACAAGAGAGACTCAAAGCATGTTTACACAATGAAACTAAGTGCCATGTAAATAAAAAAAATCAGAATAAGATGCAGTTCTAGCATTAAACATCAAAACCAACACATGAATGCACAAGCAAATATGGAGTAGAAGATTAATTACTTCAAAAATGTGTCAAAACTAACAAGATGGACAATATTATAGTCAGAATGCCACAAAAGAAGTACTGAGTAAATGAAAAGTTTTCTTAACCGACTCATTCCTCAAAAACCTAATGTAAAATATATCATAGCTTAAAAGCACCTCTAGCAAGTATCAACCCAAGACCATCATATCCTTCTCTTTAACCCTAAAAGAGCATCCTTCAGTAAGTTTTGCACGGCCACCGGTTGGCTGGCATAGCACTTGCTGGCAATTGGGGCATGTAACCACGGTTTGCGAGTGGCTGAAAATTGTTGTTCTGTAAGGAATTAAGACAAAATTATTAGTACATAACTAACAAGTGACACACTTGTAAAAACAACGACATTAACCACTGTTTTTTCAGTTACTTACATTTGGAAGCAGCCTTGGCATTTGACATCCTGCAACAGTATATAAACGTTACACAAGCAAGGCAAGGAATCATATACTGTATATACATATATACAAGGAAATCTAAAATATCAATGATTGATAGTAGATTACCAGAAAAGTAGAATTAGGTGATTGGACCAAACGCTTAAGCTTGTGCTTTTGCTTCTCAAGCTCAGCAGGAGGGTGAAGCAAGTCAGTGTCATTTGAAATCTTTGGAATACCCTGATCGAGCCACAGGAAAGAACATTAAACCACAATTGCCAACTAAACCAATGTCAAAATATTGAAGAATTTCAAGTGGTCACTCACCATATTGCCTTGAAGCTTTTGTATGATCACGGATGTTGCAAATTGCTGTCAATCAAAAGAAAGCAGAAACTAAGAAAAACAAGAGATCGTACCAACACATTCATAAAAGAAATTGCAGTAGGTAATATAGGGGGGCCGGGATGAGCTAGTCATGTCTTCGAGAAACTAAACCGATCAAAAGACATAGCACATTCGTCATAAAAAATAATGTGCCTGAATCTGCGATGAATCTTTTACGTTAATTTACCTATATTCTAGCCCATTCCATGATAAAATAGAACGCCTAGCCCTTAGTTACAGACTCTTCACATTTGATGCCACCCATGTACGAATCACCAAAAATACACCACGCTGGCAAATCTACCAAAAATACACTATTTTGGCAAATCTACATGCACCCGCTGGCATTTTTGAAGAGTCCGAGAAACATAGCCCTTGACTTCACCAATCCTAAAACTATGAATTCTTCAGATCTCATTATGGATATATAACTCTTCCGGTAAGAACATTTAATCACTTCATCCTATAGGCATGCATACTCAATTGTCAATGTAAGGCACGCCCAAGTGAGTATATGTACCAACAGATTCAGTCCTCATAGGGACTATTAAAATAAAAGCTGAAACTTATTTACCTAATTCTGCACATTAATGCAGTTTATCACCAAGGTTTCAATACACATTTTTCTTTCCCCTCGAACAATTTATCACAATTATGGAAATCTCCACTACCTTTCTAAGGTACAAACATACACTGGCTCCCCAAAAATATTGTGCATTATAAATGTAATCTGCTTACACACTTACATAAATTAAACCTAGGGATCAATGACCAATACACTGATAGATTAAACAAACAAACAACAACATACCCACTCAATGTAATCCTTATACACAATCGGCTTAAATATACATGTAGATTCATATTCTCTATTGATCATGCATGCAACGTATGAGATAAAAAGAATTCTAAATGTTAAGAGATGATCAGAAAACGAGAGTTACCTCCAATAAAAAAAAAAACCCTAAGCTCTGTTCCTTGTTTGCCTATGTGAGGTAGAAGAGGCTATTTCTACTAGCTTTCACCTATTGGGCCTCTAAAGAAAGTCTCAATTTTTTCGGCCCAATAATAATAATAATAAAAAATATAAATAGGCATATAAATATAGTAAGTAAATCTTTTCAATTAATTTATTTATTATAGTGAGTAAAATAAGCCAAAAAAAGAAAAGGACTCCTATAACGTATGCAACTCTTCTCCAATCCAAACTGCAACAAAAATATACACCAGCACGATGAATCTATTATTATTTTTCGTATTTGGAGAAAATGCAAAAGAAAAAAATGAGTAAAGTTTATTTGAGAGATCGTTTATAGAGATTAAAAACCTATACTGAGTGTGGTAAGATCTGTGTGCACTCTACCTTTTCTAGACTATGAATCGCACATTTTGTTGTTGTCTTTAATTTACCAGCATTAATGCGTTGATAAACACGTGTTTGTAGAACTAGAATATTAAAAAGGATTATTTTAAGTCTTAGGATCATATATTAGATAGATGATTGGACTTACTTTTGAGGTTAGTTTTTCTTGAGTTACAGTTACCATTATTATTACTATTGTTTTATTTGCATAAAGTAAGTGCAGAGAGCAATGAGCATAAAGAGTCGAATCTCACTTGCATATAATCCATATAGCAAAAACCTTAAAAAGTCAGCACATCACTTTTTTCATTTAACATGTAGTTGCCAAAAAGTGTAGAATTGATATTCCTATAACTCAGACATACATTGTAAAAGAGGACTATTCTCAATTGCCAACGTAGTCATTTTGTCAGTTGAATCTACAAACAAAACTCTATAACTATAACCCCGCCGATATCGATAACCAATGGGGAGTCAAAAATCAGGTGTATGATTTTGATAATCATATCACCAATGAGCTAAATTTATCTTATTTAATGTCACATTATCATCATCATCTTCATCAGCAGTTTGAACCTGAAATCTGCTGCTGACTCTATGTCAGCTAATCAAGATCTAGACTCTTTTTCATTGATTCGTACACAAGATAGGTTATGCTTGCTGCTGGCACAACTTTTAAAAGATTTGGAAAAAGTCCTTTGTAGAATCCCCTGAAGCCTTCACGCTGAACTGTTTTTCGGAACACATCAGCCATACCTTGGTATGCAGAATCAGCTTGCATTCTAGAAAGAGTATAATTTGAGTTAAAAAACGACACGTCACATGATAAACCAGAAAGCTACACCTTCCAAATAGAAAAATTGGCAGTTGTTGGCAACTAGAATCAAACTGCAGAGTTTACCTGGTCCGAATAACCTGCAAAGGATAAACACATGTTGCTCCCAGGGCTCCTGAAATAGTCCCACATCCCAGTTGCACAAGAGGGCCGGCTTCTGCATTACATGCACAATTCGTAGGAAATTAGTTTTCATTTTCTTGGAGAAAATAGGTAGTAACAGTTGAGAAGGCACAAGTTAAAGCTGTACCACTATCATGAAGAATGTAAACCTTTGACAAATCCTTTAAAGTTTCATATGCAGCTAAATCAATGCCTGCATAAGGGATGATTCCAAGCAGAGATGGTACCAATCCTCTATAAAATGCCCGAGGTCCCTCTTGTATAAAAATATCTTTTGATAGTTTTCGCAGACTAGGAACGCTTCCACTCTCACATGAATGAGTCTGTAACCGAGTTTTAACAAGATCCATGGGATATATAGCAGTTTGTGCTATTGCACCTGCCATTCCACCAGCCACAAGACGCCCAGAAGTTCCTATGTCTCTCTGATCTTCAACACCCCTGGCACGACCAATAGCATTTTTCAAGGTTTCATATGCGTAAAATTTAATTGCACTTTCTGGTGCAACCTTCAACACATTTAGCCCATTGCCACGGAAAAACCCCAATAGACCACCTTCCTTCCATATGCTTTTGACTGCAGGACCAATTGAAGCATGAGTTGTTTGCACTTGTAAAATGACCTTAACGCGATCAAGAGGTGCTGTGGCAGTACGCGAAGCAGCTCCTGCAACTCCCCCTGCAATCAGGTATTTGGATGCATGAACATGCTTACTGATGCCTTCCGGTATGACTGTCTGCTCCCCAATATCTACAAGACATACCCTCTCCAAGTATTGGTAAATATTCTCAATGGTGGCCTCATGTGGATAGAGTAGAAGAAAATCCCTCCACTCCTCAAAAGTGATAATTCCGTTGTTATCCTTGTCCACGTGTTCCACAAATCGTGCAAGTTCATCATCATCTAATTCTATTCCTGCAAGAAAGAAACTGCCCTAGCTTATAAGAGGAAGACAACTAAAAAACATGGAAATGAACATGGAAAACTCCTCTAGCCAGAAACGAAATTAGATTCCAAGAGATGGCAATCATAAAGCAAATAATTGAGCAATAACAGAGGAAAAATTAGTATGCAGATAATAAATGGATAATCCAATTTGAATTTGTTATGCAAATTCATCAATGGGCCATCATTTTAGCACCTTTATTTAGTAAGCATAAAATTGTAAAAAAGGTACTTTTCCTGCAGATAGAGAAAAATGGACCAGGAGAGCAAGGGAACTTAATACTTGATGGGGAAGCCAAAATAAACTGAAAGGCCCTAAAAGTTTGTGTCAACAATTTACCAAAGTCAACGAGTAGAGCAACCAGGAAAGAACAGATAATTATTTCAAGTGCCCATATTCAGATTCTAGAAAAGAACAAAATTAATTAAAGCACAAAGTGTCAACAGTGTCACACACATATCTGATTATCATGAAGCAACATTACTGAATCTGTAGCATAAAGGAAAACAGAGAAAAAAGTTAAATGGACAGAAAGAAGAAAAATAATTATGACGGGAAAGCACCATCTGAAGGACTTAATTGTCAGGCACCCTACCTTATTTCTTGCAAGAGAAATATCTCAATTACCCACAGTTATTTGGGAAGCTCATACCTGGTGGTAATAGTGAATGATGAATGTACATACAACTCAATTCGTACTGTACAATTCGAACATAAGCCCCGTTTGCATTGAATTTTTTTTAGGTCATCTTGTTTGGTTAAGAAATAATCTTAGGTTTTTAAAACGCCCCAAAAAGATTTTAAATAAACAAAATTAAACTAAAGTAGATTTTCATTATTTTCAAAAAACAACTGAAGCAAAGTATAGACGTAGGCAAAACAACCAGTTGGAAATAAGTTTCAATCTTTATTGATACGCTGACAGTAGTCCCATATTTATCAAAATGTCAGTTTGTTCAGAGATTTGTGAGTCAGTTTGGAATAAACATGAGAGTAAAAGAATCTTGAGTATATGAGAACAGTGACAAATTATTAAGTTTTTTTTTTGATTAAGTGAGATTTCATTAAGGCATCCAGTAGATGGAAATATACAAAAGGGGGGATCTGTCAGCTCGGTAAGAACAAAAAATTTATAGAGCTAAGGAGCTGACAAAGTCCAGGTAGTGATCTAAGTTATCTACAAGGGGAAAGTTGGCCCAACTAAAAAGGTTAACCAAACAACTAGCCTTAAGCTTACATTGGAGTGAAAAATCCGTCGAAATGTCTCCTGTTTCTTTCATTCCAAATAACCCAAGATATATAAGCTGGGGGTCATAGAACTCCAACTAGTGTAGGTCTGATATTGAAGGGCACGGACCAACTTATACCAAAAAAGCGCTAGGAACATGTTCCAAAAGTGTTAAAGTTAAACTGACTCAAAAGAAGCAAAATTGATATGAAAAATGATAGTCATGTTGTTTTGCTCATATTTATAGAAAAAGACACACAATCCATACACAATTGGTTTCCCTGACGCTTACAGAATTGCTTCAAAACACCAACTCTTGACCTGATTATGCTGGACCCCAGCTTGATTACATAACGGTAAACTCAAACTCATCTAAATGTAATTCTTGTCTAGATCAGAGAGAAAGAAAGAGTTAACTAATTTCAGTGTAAAGAACCAGTTCTCCTCAACTATGAGTAACTTGTAGAGAGCATCATGGCCATCTTAAGCATCCTATAGCTACAAGAATATGAATTATACCCTTCGGGGCCCAGTGGTTTGAGCTTGGGACTTCCATGTTGGAGTCTCAAGTTCGAAACCCCTTGCCAGCGAAAGCAAAAAGTTTGCCTTCTGGGTCGAGCTCGTCGCACCAGGCTTGCCTGGTGCGGTTACCTCTCCTATGTGGTTTGCGAGCTATTGCATAGAAGTGGGGGTTTTACCTTGTGCGCACCCAAAGGGTAGGGTTTCCCTTGTCATAAAAAAAAATATGAATTATTGCACCATATCATCGTCAACCAGCCAACTTATTAACCACGTAATTTAGCTCCGTATAAGCCTTGACAATCTACTCTGCATATTTCTAAATCAAAGAATTGAAGAAGTCCCGCGAGAAATAGTCTAAGAACTAAAATAAAGAGCTAGAAAAATTATTTTATCACAGGCACCAGAAAAGAAAGTGCAAAAGCATCTTCAAAATCAGATCAAAAGTGGTGAAACCATTGTAGCTAAATTGAAGACAAATCAAAAACCATTTGAGCTTAGAGAAGTGGCACCTTAGAGCATCAAAATACTACTACTACTATTATTGTGAACAGTTAAACATTAACATCTTGCTCACTAAAGCAAATATTGAACAACTATAATAGCATAATGCACCAATTTGCTATGAAGTGATTTTACAGACACACGTGTTACCTTTTTCAACTGAAATCATGAGTATCAAAGTAACAAGTCAGCTAAGCAGGACTACTTATCCCACGACAAAAAGGGGGGTGACAAGGGTTAAGGATGATCCAGTGATAAGGTGTAACAAAACATAACATACTCATATCAGCTCAATGCTATGCAGATAACTTGCCCTAATATACATCACCAAGATGCCAATTCCAAAACTAAAGGCTTTAAATACCATCTTGCGAGAGAAATAGATA